GTCTTGTCATGAATGATCCTCTAAGAACTCCCGACACTGAGGCCAGCTCTCTATTGTAACTAATGGTCAACATCAAATGATGAGTTTGTTTGTCCATAACCTGGGGTTGAGAATTGTAGACCCCTTTTCACCGAACTCTTCTTTTCTCCTCTCTAGAGAAACACTGGGTTCGCACAACATCCTCTATGCAACTGTTCTGCTTGACCTTACCTGTCTATTTCTCAATACAGATACTACCTCAAGATCTTTGGAAACCTACCTGGTGAGTCCTCCTTTAATCTGTGCGCGAGCCTCCCCTTTATTCGTCAAAAATGATTTATGTGGGTGGGGGGTGGGGTGGCGGGGGGGGGGTTGGTAGGAAAGTGCTGATATGAAAGCCCATCGCGATCCTTTATGCTGATTGGTCCACTGGATTTTAGAGACTTATTAAGCAGAAATACAAAAATAAGTTGTGTGAATGTTTTGATCTCGGCATATTTTAACTGAAACTGACAGATAAGACAAATGATGAGTGTCAACTTGTTAATTAATCAGGCATAGCAGAGATATCTAGTGGTCACTGCGTTACAAGTTGTTATGCAGATGGGCGAGTGCTGATTGGGGCACCGGATTTTAGAGACTTATTAAGCAGAAAAAAATTCAAAGATAACTTGTATGAACTTGACAGGTTAGACAAAGATGAGAGTTAACTTGATAATTAATCAGGCATAGCAGAAATGACTAGTGGGGTCTACTGGAGACTGATAGTTGTAGTGAGAGTATGTCTTTGCTGTCTTTTATTCGTTAAAAGGACGAGAAGTTGGGTAAACGGTTCCTTCATTAGTGATGCTAAAATAGTTCTGAGGCGGGTGGGGGAGAATGAATGGAATCATTTCCCATTCTATAGGACTCTAATCATCGTCAAACAATTTTCAAAACTGTACCTGCCACTCTACATAGACAGGTTCCAAGTAGGTAATTAGTCAACACATTGTACTTCAGAGGGTTTAACCTTTTATCCTTACTGAATAATACGAGAGGTGTCATAGGCCATTTGAGTTTAACGTAGTTTGTTTAAGCACTCCGTGGCAGAAGCCCACTGAGCGTCTGATGTTCGTGCCACTGATTGACGTACTATTTGTACTCCATAGGTAGGTCTTTCAATTATGTTGGACTGCCTACCTGGTTTGAGCATGACAACTGCTTTGGGTCTAGAGAAACTCGCTTCTACCATCTTCGTTCGTGAGTACAATACAGGTAATTTCGAACTGGCTCTACTGTTCGCTGAGAAGGCAGTTGACACGATCAAACATTTGGGCAATCAACGCTGTATGCAGTACGCTTCGGCCATTAGTGTCAAAGGTCAGTTGCTGTCTCCACCACCCTCTCCTCCCCCGTCTTTACATAACACACTCATTGTTAATTTACGT